TGGCGAGTTCGCAGGCTTGAACTCAGCACCCCCCCTGCAGTGCTGCCCCAGAGAGGAGCGCGCGGGCCTGGTGCGTCTCTGCACGGAGACCACGTGGTCCGGGGCTTCAGCGCTACGTGTGAAACGCTTGTACACGTGTGTAGATGTGCACATCACGTGATGAGGAGGCGCACCGTTTACTGCTCGAGCTGCTGGCACCGAAGTTCCGCGTGCAGTAGGCACTGTCTTTGAGAAGCTGCCTTGAGAAGCCACTGGACTAGACAGAGAGACTTTGAACCCCCAAGTACCGAGCTGGCCTGCTGGTGAAAACGGAAAAATTTCACCTCTTGCTCCTGAAATGAGGGAGGAGGACAAAAATAGAAAGAAGACCAAAAAATGGTGGAAAAGGAGGGTAAGACAGAGCAGAAGGTAAGACGGCGAGATGCCGGGTGCCTTGTGGGGAGGCAGAGCCCGCGGGAACGTGGAGTTGGAGGGGCTTTGAGGACGCGGAGCGGCTCTGTACTGCTTTACCGTTTTTCTAAGTTTAAAAAAAAGGAAAGAAAAACTCACATGTGGCCCAGGGGTGCTGGCCCTGCGGTGCACCCCGAACCACGCTAGGACGCCTGTCCCGCCGCTGCTTGGGCCGGCTGGTGTGCGCGGTGGGGTAGGAGGCTGGGCCTCGCGGGCACATCTACAGGGGTGGGGAGCGGGGGGCCGGGGAGCGGAGCCCGGAGACCACGGACACCGTGAGACAAAGGTCCGTGGTTGCAGCCACGCTGATCTGGGTTTTAAAGGGGCTGGGGAGCTCCAGCTGACAGCCAGGACGCCGCACACACTCCACTAAACGATTAGACCAGATGCCAACACATTTCCAGACCTCCGCGCCAGAGATGCTGCAAAAGCACGCAGGTAAAACGAAGCAAGGACTCTGGGACAGACGCATATTCACGGAGTGGAGATTCCAACGGCAATTGCAGCAATAAGGCTGCAAATTCGGGGAGGCACATTTCTGAGCTGGACCACACATTTACAGCTCCAGGCTCTCGAGATTCCCGAGTCTGGGGCTGGGGAGGGAGGTGTGACTTAGTC